GGCTCACACATCTCTGGGGGGGGGCACCACTCATCTCCTGGGGGGGGGGCATCACGCATCTCCTGGGGGGGGGGCACCATCATCCCTGAGGGGGGGGGCATCACGCATCTCCTGGGGGGGGGCACCACGCACCCTGGGGGGGGCACCACGCATCTCCTGGGGGGGGGGCACCACTCATCCCTGGGGGGGGGCACCACTCATCTCCTGGGGGGGGGCACTACGCATTCCCTGGGGGGGGGCACCACGCATCTCCTGGGGGGGGGCACCACGCATCTCCTGGGGTGGGGGGCATCACGCATCTCCTGGGGTGGGGCACCACGCATCCCCTGGGGGGGGCACCACGCATCCCACCTGGGGGGGGGGCATCACGCATCTCCTGGGGGGGGGGACACCACGCATCCCACTGGGGGGGGGGGCCTCACGCATCTCCTGGGGGGGGGGGCAACACGCATCCCCTGGGGGGGGTGGCACCACGCACCCCTGGGGGGGGAGCATCAGCGCATCTCCTGGGGGGGGCACCACGCATCCCCTGGGGGGGGGGCACCACGCATCCCTGGGGGGGGGGCACCACGCATCCCTGGGGGGGGGGCATCACGCATCTCCTGGGGGGGGCACCACGCATCCCCTGGGGGGGGGGCATCACGCATCCCCTGGGGGGGGGCACCACGCATCCCCTGGGGGGGGGCACCACGCATCCCCTGGGGGGGGGGGCACCACGCATCCCCTGGGGGGGGGGCACCACGCATCCCCTGGGGGGGGGGCACCACGCATCCCCTGGGGGGGGGGCATCACGCATCCCCTGGGGGGGGGGCATCACGCATCTCCTGGGGGGGGGCACCACGCATCCCCTGGGGGGGGGGCATCACGCATCTCCTGGGGGGGGGGGCATCACGCATCCCCTGGGGGGGGGGCATCACGCATCTCCTGGGGGGGGGCATCACGCATCTCCTGGGGGGGGGGGCACCACACCCCTGGGGGGGGGCACCACGCATCCCCTGGGGGGGGGGCATCACGCATCCCCTGGGGGGGGGGCATCACGCATCTCCTGGGGGGGGGCATCACGCATCTCCTGGGGGGGGGCACCACGCATCCCCTGGGGGGGCACCACGCATCCCTGGGGGGGGGGCACCACGCATCCCCTGGGGGGGCACCACGCATCCCCTGGGGGGGGGCACCACGCATCCCCTGGGGGGGGGGGCACACGCATCCCCTGGGGGGGGGGACACCACGCATCCCCTGGGGGGGGGGGCACCACGCAATCCCCTGGGGGGGGGCACCACGCATCCCCTGGGGGGGGGGGGCACCACGCATCTCCTGTGGTGCGTGGTGCCCTCTCTGGGGTGCGATACATGTGGCAGGTTTTTTTTGAAATAATAATCTAGACCAAATTAGCACGGGGCGCCGACTACTTTGTTTCATCAAACCCGAGTGTGCTTATTACATTGCACATGGTTGTAACCACTGACCGCTGGTAGTGCCGTGAACAAGAAATTTGCAGGGGCTGCGCCTTTAACTTTGCATCATTTGCACCACGACTCAATCACCCCTCCTCCTCCCCCCGACGTGTGCCGCACAGCGCGCACCGTACTGCAACATACCGCATGCACTGCACCGTACCACACCATACCACACCGTACCACACCGTACCACACCATACCACACCGTACCACACCGTACCACACCGTACCACACCATACCACACCGTACCACACCATACCACACCGTACCACACCGTACCACACCATACCACACCATACCACACCGTACCCGACACGTACCGCACGTAACGCACGCGTGCGGGCCCGCCTGGCCGCCCGGCCGGTCTTGTCCACGTGTCCCAGGATGCTCACCAGCAGGATCTTCAGAGCCAGGACCGCGATTGTGATGGTGAGGCCTGAACCGTCCGGAGGAGGGACCGGGGGGCGGGGGTGTGCAGGGCAAAGGGGCTCCGCGGTGAGTGCGGCAGAGGGCAGTGGCAGCAGCACGCGAGAGGAAACCCTTCAGACCAAAACAATAACAACAGGGGCCCCGTAGATTAGAAACAAATCAAGTCCAAGCTGGACGATGCTACTGCTGTCGATGTGGGGGCGCCGCGGTGGCTGGGAGATGTTGACTACCTCGCCTGGTGTGCAGGAGGACGTGGGTTCGATCCCGACCTTGACGCCTGCTGCTGTATATTTGGAGTTTGCGTCTCTCTCTCTCTCATCATCATCATCACGGTGGCTAGGAGATGTTAACTACCTCGCCCGGTATGCAGTGGCGTGGTGGTGGTGGTGGCGGTGGGGGTGGTGGTGGTGGGGGTGATGGTGGGGGTGGTGGCGGTAGCGGTGGTGGTGGTAGCAATGACGGTGGTGGTGGTAGTGGTGACGGTGGTGGCGGTGGTGGCAGTGGTGGTGGCGACGGCTGCAGTGGAGGTGGCCGGTGATGGTGGCGGTGGTGGTGGTGATGGTGGCGTTGATGGTTGTGATGGTGGCGGTGGTGGTGATGGTGGCGGTGATGGTGGTGGTGGTGGCGGTGTGGTGATGGTGGCGGTGGTGGTGGTGGCGTTGATGGTTGTGGTGGTGGCGGTGGCTCTGCTGCACGTGGCTGTCTGTAATCCACTGATGCTGTGGAAGCAGCAGCAGCGGCAGCGAGGGTTGGTGGGTCACCGCACAGATATATCCATCTGTCCCAGCATCATGGATGGGTTTTCTCCGGGTGCACCGGTTTCTTCCCACATGAAATCACTCGTCGTTAATTGGGCCAATAACACCTTAATATATAGTGGACCGCAGAGCTCAGGCAATTGTTGGTAGTCCCAACAACATTTTTTTATTTTACCAGGTAAGGCCCACTGAGCTATGTAGCTCTTTTTCAGAAGCGACCTGGCCACAAACGATGGCTCAACCAAATTGGCCTCATCATCATGTGGACATTTATAGCAGTAGTCAAATACTTTAAACGCGTGACGTAGATTCTAAATGTGGAGAAAACAACCGCAGGATCCGGAGAAAAATCCACGCGACCACGGGGAGAGAGACACCACAAACTCCAAATACACAACAGCAGGCGTCAGGGTTGGGATCCAACCCACGACCTCCTGTAAACCAGGCGAGGCAGTCAACATCTCCTAGCCACCGTGATGATGAGAGAGACACGCAAACTCCAAATGTACAGCAGCAGGCGTCAGAGTCCGGATCGAACCCACGACCTCCTGCATACCAGGCGAAGTAGTCAACATCTCATAGCCACTGCGGGCACCCTCTCGCCACCCAACTTCACCACGCTGGTCCTCCTGCGGGCTGCTGTTCACGGGAGCGTTCACGAGGGGGATGCGGGCAGTCGGGTGGGCGTGGGGGGGGCTGCCAAAAATAATATCTGCTTAGGCCCCCCCCCCCTCCACAATCCGCCAGCGCCGCCACTGCCGTGGTGAAGCGGTGCAGCAAGGTGAGCAGCGTGGGGCTTCAAGTGGCTCTGGCAGGCTCAGCATTCCACGTGTCCCCGAGGGCGTTATTGATAATTAACCTTGCTTCGCAGTGCCAACAGTCAACACAAACAGCCTGCTCGCCCTCTCCCCGAACAGCTGCTGCCACTGCACACAGCTACCCGGCAGCGGTAGCGGCTCTAACGCGCCAGAGCCAGGCGGGTGATGTAATCGACCCACACGGTGGCCAGGAGATGTTGACTACCTCGCCTGGTAGGCAGGAGGTCGTGGGTTGGATCCCGTCCCTGACGCCTGCTGTATATTTTGAGTTTGCGTGTCTCTCTCTCATCATCATCACAGTGGCTTTGAGATGTTGACTACCTCGCCTGGTAGGCAGGAGGTCGTGAGTTGGATCCCGTCCCTGACGCCTGCTGTATATTTTGAGTTTGCGTGTCTCTCTCTCATCATCATCACAGTGGCTTTGAGATGTTGATTACCTCGCCTGGTAGGCAGGAGGTCGTGGGTGGATCCCGTCCCTGGCGACGCCTGCTGCTGTGTATTTGGAGTCTGCGTCTCTTTCTCTCTCATCATCATCACAGTGGCTAAGAGATGTTGACTACCTCGCCTGGTATGCAGGAGGTCGTGGGTTGCATCCCGACCATGACGCCTGCTGCTGCTGTATATTTGGAGGCTATGTCTCTTTCTCTCATCATCATCACAGTGGCTAGGAGATGTGAACTCCCTCGCCTGGTATACAGGAGGTAGTGGGTTCGATCCCGACCCTGCCGACGCCTCCTGCTGCTGTATATTTTGAGTCCGCGTGTCTCTCTCCCCGTGGTCGCGTGGATCTTTCTCCCGGTCCCTCCGGGTTTTCCCCTCCACTTTAAGAATCAACGTCACGCGTTTAGAGAGTTTGGCTGCTATACATTTCCACATGACGAGGGCGACGATGATGATGATGATAATCCACTTCGTTGAGCTACCATTAGCGATGGCCAGGTAGCTTCTGCTAAGAAAAGAGCTCTCTGGCTCAGTGGGGCCTATCAGGTAAAATAAGAACACGTGCTCAGTTTATTTCGAAAGGAAGAGCGTTCCAGACGGCCCCGTTGTTGTGTTGTTGTTCATTAGAAAGGTTGTTGGGTTAGATCGCGTAACGTGTGAGTGTGTCGTGACCCTCCACCACCCGACACAGTCGGTGAGGTTTGTCACGTGAAACACATTCCTGCGGAGGGAGCTGGTAGGAGCGTCGGGTTGCTCGGTCAATGGCCTGCAGGGTCAACGGCGGCGTGGTGTATTCCGCAAATATGGCCGACTGTGAGGGCAGGCACAATCCGGCGTGAGTAGGTTAAACGTTGAGTTTTATAAGGGCACCACAGGGTGACCAACCCCTCCCCACCCAGCCCCTCCCCACCCACCCCTCCCTACCCAGCCCCTCCCTCCCCACCCAGCCCCTCCCTGCACGACGGACGGACGGACACAATAATCCCCTATGGGCTGGTGTAACCAGGAGGTTCCAACCAGTACAACGCGCCAATGAGTGACCACTTGAGCCCACCGCTGTGTTGGAGAGTCAACCCGCAACATTTACAATTCGATTGCCTCTCCAACACACCGGTGGGCTCAAGTGGTCACTAATTTCCGCGTTGTATACGTGACAAACCTCACAGGCTGTGTCGGATGGTGGATGCATCACGACACATTGACACTTTACGCGATCTCACCCAAAAAAACCTTTATTACGAATAATATTGGCCGCGCAAGCTTGCTACGGCGTTAAACCGTGCCGCCGCCGCCGCCGCTGCTGTTGTTGTTTGCGAGAGCGCCTCTCGTCTCCTCGTGTCGACATTATTTGTAACGTTTCTCTGCTCAATTCTGCTCCCTTCTTTCTTCCATCGGTCGTCGGCTGTGGTAATTGCTAAAATAAATCTGAGAAAGCCTCCTAATTGTGCGTCGCTGACGGCTGAGCACAAGCTGTCAATTAATTAATCCCGGCGTCCCGATTAATTTGTCCTGTCACGAATGTGGCTTCACGTGGGGGGGGGGGGGGGGGGGTGGCGCGTCTGTGTTTCTCCCCCTCCAATTGTTGGTGTGCGCGTGTTAATTTTAAAAATGTGTCACCAGAGAGTTAATGACGTCCCCCGTGACTCGTAACGCTAGGAACGCGACTGCGTCATTCGTAATTGCTAAAGTATAACAAAAAATAGAGATTTTTATTTCATATTTTACAACTGGCTTTAAAGCCACCCCTCTCTAAGCCGTCACACGTGCTGCGTTTTTGTTTAATGCTTCCATTGTAATCGTCGTCGTCGTCACCGTAATCATCATCGCAGTCATTTTGCCGTGGTCCATCCACTGCTGGATGAAGGCCTCTCCTCTCTCCCCAAGGCTGCAATACCCACCGCACCTCCGACGGTTGACTACGTACGGTGCGAAAGAAGTTCAACACACACACTGCACATCGACTAACACTGCCCATAGACTCAACACCGCACCTGCGATTAGCACGGTTGGCTACGTACGGTGCGAAGGAAGTCCAACACACACACTGCACACAGACTAACACTGCCCATACTCAACACCGCACCTGCGATTAGCACGGTTGGCTACGTACGGTGCGAAGGAAGTCCAACACACATGCTGCCGCTCCCTCTCACGATCCTGCGATGCAACCAGAAATCCATGCAGCTGCCTACCTCCTGCCTACCTCCTGCCTACCTCCTGCCTACCGGCTGCCTACCTGCAACGTGGACCAAAGTCATCGCTGCATCTCCACAAAACGAGCTCACATCCGCTGGCTCGCCTCTCTGCCACGGCTGTCGTGGCGCGCTGGCCACGTGTCCCTACCGGACGACATCTGTGAAAAAGAGCTTCGTAGCTCATCGGATTTCTCCAGGATAAGTAAACATTCTGATCATTATTGACCCATAGAGACCGATAAAGATTCATCGAGACCAATAGAGATCCATAGAGAAGCGTTGAGATCCATCGAGACCCAAAAATGTCCATGGAGACCCACAGAGACCGATAGACACCCATGGAGTTCTGTAGAGACCCACCGAGATCCATCGAGACCCGTATAGAGACCAATAGAGATACATATACATTAATGGACGATACGATTATCGTGACGATTATCTGAACCGGTCCTGGGCCTCCCCTTGTTCGACTCAGCCTCTAATGAGTACCTAGTGCGATATGTAAACATCGCCACTGGGGAGACAAAGGCGGCCGGGCGTGGTGTTTGCCCACCCACCCCCTCGTGTGTCGTGCCGGCCTTTATAGGTGCTCGCTAACAGCACTTGCCCCTACAGTCTGTTAAGGCTACACGGGGGGATCTTTGTGTGTTTTTAAACACAGAGACACAATAGGCGACGTTTCGGACAAGGCTGCGCGTCTTAATGACACGTGCGGGCGGAGCCGTTCTGAGTCTCTAGGACGGTGCAACAATGTTAACGCACAGGTGGGGAGGGGGGTGAGTTTGTGTGAGGTCG